CTTTGGGTTATAATCCAATGCTACTTTATACTTTAATTGTTTTGTTACTCAAATTATTCCCACTTTGGCCACTGGGAACTCTTTTGGTTGGCACCATCCCTTTGACATATTCCAATCTTTGTGGGTTTCTTAAAATTTCTTGCCCCAGCCCTGGCCGGTTTGGCTCAGTGGTTACAGCGTCGGCCTGCGGTCCAGAGAGACCCGGGTTCGGTTCCCACTAAGGGTACGTACCTCGGTTGCAGTTTGTCCCCAGCCCTGGTTGGTTGTACGGGTGGCAGCCACTAGATGTGTCCCTTTCACATCGATGTTTCTCTCTCTCTCTCCCCCTCCCACTCTATCTGAACAAAAAATGGAAAAACGTCCTTGGGTGAGGATAAAAAAAAAAAAATTTCGTGCCCCAGTCATAAAATCAGCCACTTCTCCAAGGAGCCCTGGTTCCTTTCATTGGAGAATTGTATTAGAAACCAAGATCTGGGCAGCAGGTATGCTTTTGCTGCTAGGGTTCACTGCTTCTGGAAGAGCCTCAGTTTTTAGCTGAATTTTAGGTTATTTGGTGGATATTTGCATATAAAATATAGAAATAAATTCATGCAGAGACTAGGACTACTAGGCTTATGGAATTTTAAAATTAATGCAATTATAGATGTATTTATCATCTTCAACAGATGTGTTTTGAACATAATTTTAAAATATAAGGAAGAGAGAATTCTTTAAAAATATAAGATTGGAACATGCCCTTTTATTTTTTAAAGGGCGGGAGTACAAATACATACTGTCAGGAAAGAAAATGAAATATCACGGTTTCTGTAGATCAGCAGGTAGGTCAGCAACTTTTTGTCTCAGGACCCTGTTACACTTATAAAAATTATTTGAGAATTTTACAAAGAGCTTTTGTTTACCTGAGTTCTATCTACTCATATTAACCAAATTAGAAATTAAATCTGCTAAATGTTTTAAATAATTATTAGTTTAATTAAAACAATAAGCGTTTCACACATTATATAAATATTTTTATTAAAAAAAAATAACTTCAGAAAATCTATCTTTCAAAAACACTCAGTGAGAAAAGTAACAGTATTTTATACTTTAATGTCTGGCTTTATAAAATGGTATTTTTTTGACATTCTGTGATATATCATTTTGGTTACAAAGTATATAAGCATATGAAGATATATAGTTGTAAAAGAATATTTTAATAATCATTTCAAATAACTGTTGATATTCTTCATACTATACTTTGAAAAAGATAGCATCTTGAAAGTTAGCTACAACATGGATTCTAAAATCATACCAATGAACTTTCATACTCTACTACATTAAAATCCACTGATTTATTTCTACTTTGAATGCATCTTTACCCATGTGATTGTGTATCATCATACATTGATCATCTGGTAAATAATGGTTCACTGAATTATGCAGATATTCCAAATTGACAATTCAGAATACAATATCAAGGGAAAAGATCACATTCTTAAAATCATTACACATCCCACCAGAAAAAGCCTAACTGAGAAATTGTCAGTCAAGCTCACAATGTTAGAAACAAGTTTACCAAAATTCTAAATTTCACTTGAAAACTTGATTTTTTTCAATCACTGGCTATAAGTATAACTGTTTTTCTTGAAGTGTTAGGCTCACTTAATTCAGTTTTGAGAAAAACAAATGTCAGGAGGTAGAATAGGATGTCTTTGAATAATTATGTTAAATTTTTAACCATTATCTCTGGAGATTGGTTGCACAACAATGGGAATATAATTAAAATTACTTAACTGTACACTTTTAAAAAACAGGTAAGATGGTAAATCTTGTATTTAAAAAAGCCAACCAGGAGACCATGAGAAAAGAAATTTACAAGCCAACCTGATTCGTGAATACCGATTTAAAAATCCTAAACAAAATGCAAACAAACTGTCTGGCTGGTATGGCTCAGTGGTTGAGCATTGACCCACGTGCCAAGAGGTTGCCGGTTTGATTCCTGGTCAGGACACATGCCCAGGTTGTGGGTCCGATCCCCAGTGGGTGTATGCAGGAGGTGGCCAATGTATGTTCTCTCTCATCAATGTTTCTATCTCTCTCTCCCTCTCACTTTTCTCTCTCTAAAATCAATAAAGGGGAGAAAAAATGCAAACAAACCAAACCCTGTAATTTATAAAAAAAATAATCCATCATGACTAAATTGGGCTATCCTAGAAATGCTTAGTAAGTCTAATATGAAAATCAATGTAACTGACCACATTAACAGATTAAGAAGAAAACATGTGGATCATCTCTAGAGTTATACAAAAGCCTTTTTTAATAGTACTCACTGTTTATTATGATTTAAAACAAACAAACACAACAAAACTCCAAGCAATAATATTAGAATAAACTGCCTTAACTTAATACAGGCCACCTTAAAAAAAAACTATAAGTATCATTTTAAATGGTGAATTTGAAAGCATTTCCTTTGATGTCATACACAAGACAAGAATCAAATCTTGGAGTATCTGCAAATATCTAAGGCAGTATATTAATGGTTCAGGGGTAGACAAATAGACCAATGGTACAGAAGAGAGTTTACACAAATAAAACTAGCCATGTACGAAAACTTGGTTTATGACAGGGAATTTGACTATCAGAGAGAATTATTTATTTTAATAAATAGTGCTGTGATAACCAATTATCCATATGGAAAGAGTGAATTTGCATCCTATACCTTTCACAAAAAACAATTACTAGGAGATTTAAGAATTAAATGTGAACACCAAAGGCAAGAGAAACAGCCCTGGCCAGTTTTGCTCAGTGGTTAGAGCGTCAGCCTGCAGTCCAGAGAGACCCGGGTTCAGTTCCCGCTAAGGACATGTACCTCAGTTACAGTTTGTCCCTGGCCCTGGTTGGGTCATGCGGGTGGCAGCCACTCGATGTGTCCCTTACACATCAATGTTTCTCTCTCTCTCTGGGATCAATAAAGAAAAAATACTGCCCTGGCCTGTTTGATTCAGCAGTTAGAGCATCAGCCTGTGGACCAGAGAGTCCCAGAGTCCCAGAGTCCCAGGTTCAGTTCCCGCTAAAGGCATGTACCTCGTATGAAGTTTGTCCCTGGCCCCAGTGGGGTCATGTCAATGGCAACCACTCAATGTGTCTCTTTCACATTGATGTTTCTCTCTCTCCATTTCTCCCTCTATCCCTCCTGCTCTGTCTGAGGATGAATGCAAAAATGTCCTCAGGTGAGGATATAAAAAAAAAACCACAATAAATAAATAAATAAATAAATAAATAAATAAATAAATAAATAAAAATATAATGCTAATGTAATATAGAGCCTTCAATGTTCCAACAACTTCACATCCTAAACATATACTACATTTATGTTCCCGTTTAAAATCAACACATTATTGTAGGAACTTGTTAACAAGAATTTTTTAAAAACTCACGGTTCAGTAAGTGTCTATATCAATGTTTGTGTCTATATCTCATTTCAAATATTAGTAATGATGCCCATGGTAAAATCTAAATATTGCTTCAAACAAGTGGGGTATTGGTTTGAACCTTCCCATTGCTCCTTGAATCATATTTTTTTACCAAAAGCCAGACTTTGGATGCTTCAGGGAAAAAATACCTAATACATTAAGATAAAATCTCCTTTGGAAAGAATAGAAAATATTTTTTTAAAAAACAGACACCATATTTTTAGGACTTTCAAATAATTCTGAAATGCAAAGTGGCAAGGAAATAAGCACAATACAAGGAATACATCATTCACTTGGGAAACTACTAACTACATATATGTGACTGAAAGGGATGAGTTAGAAAAAACAATCATGCCAAGATAATTTTTTAATATTATGAAAGCATGTGTCCATCAAGCGAAATAAATTCATTTCCATTTCATTCACCAACCAAAACTCCCTCAATTTCTCCAAAAACACACATAAATACAAAGTAGATATTTTTAATCTAAACTCTAAGCCTCGGGCTCACATGAAATCAAAATGACTTTAACCACACAAGTTCCAGCACTCAGACTTGTAGTTTCTATATGCTGCCCACACAGCACTTTGTGAGCACGTGATTAGGAGGAATGATGCACAATCACACCACATTCCTTCCCTCAGCTCACACATCAAGAACTTGCCCTCTCAGCTGCATTCTTCTCCAAACAGCCATGGTCACCTTAGCAACACTCTGCTCCTAATATGGACAGCTGGTCCATTTAAGTCAGCCCTATTTGGCAGGGAAAATGCTTGTTCTTCAAATTGGGGGAGAAAGAAGAGGTTTTCCTTTCAATACACATTACAGGGTTGATTCAACTTGATCAGCACTTTTATTCTGTGGCAGCAACTTGTGTCGAGTTTCAACCTATTCTGAGTTTGGGTGTGTATGTGTGTGTGTGTGTGTGTTTATCTGAAGCAAGTGGCTAAAAATAAATAAATAAATAATAAAGCAAGTGGCTAAAAATAAAATAAAGGCAGCTGATAGAATTCTAAGGAAGAGTAGAACATGAAAAATAAAGGTATCTGAAATAATTGTATTCTTTTATAAAATGATAAAGCTATCCACATTTTTGGAAGTTCAAATTTATTTAAATGGAACTGTAAAATCTGAAGCCTTAATATGCAATAAGAAATCAAGAGTCAGAAGACCTGTCTTTTTTAACATCATAGCTTATTTTTGAACAAAAACATTGCTATACTTCAAAGTCCTATAACTCCAATCTACTCAATACACTGTAAGCCCATGGATTCACCCCACCACCTACATGTAAAATCTCACAATCTTTCCAAAGGCTCAAATGTAAACTAGGTATCAAAACCAAATGGTTAGTATATCTAAGAATTCTGCAGAGCTAGAATAATCGAGGATAGTACTGGATTACTCAAAACCAATCTTAATCTTATGCTTTTACCATGAAAACTGGGCCTGAACCAATTAAGTCTCTTGAAACAGAAGATACAGGTTTATAATACATTTGCCTGATTTTTATACTATATATAAATAAATTGAAGAGAAAGAATTACCATATTCTGAAATATGGGGGTAAAATGGCTTGTTCCATGCCCACAAACGGATTCTTATCTGCCATCCATCAAAATCAGATACCTAATCTTTACAGAAAGTATATAGGCATGTTCAAAATTAAAAAACATCTAAATTTATGGGCTTCATTGTACATGAGAAATATTTATGAAATAATTTTCTATATAACAGTGTTATTAATTTAATAAATGCTCAATTATATACACATAAAATCAGTCAATATATTAGAAAGTTGTACATTAAGAATAATTAATCCTGGTAGGTGGCTCAATTGGTTGGAGCATCTTCCTATGTACCAAAAGGTTGAGGTTTCAATTCCCAGTCAGCACACGTAACGGAAGGCAATATTCCCCCCACCCCATCTCAAAATCAATAAAAACATATTCTCAGGTGAGGATTTTTAAAAATAATAGTTTAGAATTGTACTAATTACAATAACCACAAATACTAAAGTGTTTATTGCCTGATGTGTTGATTGCCATTTTAGTTGTTTAACTGTTAAAATTACATAAAACGTATTTAATTCCACTACTTGATCATATCCATTGAATCAATATTCAATGAATATAGTTTTTAAAAATGTTTTAGTGAAATTTAAGGTTAAGTAAATACCACCTACATTATTCATTGGTTATACTTTTGTTTGTATGTGTGTTTTTAAACTTCTCAGGCAATGAAGTTCTTCCTGGTTAGAAACATTTCTTTCAAGTTAAAATTATCTTAACAATTACATCTTCTGTAAAGAACAAAGGATCAGGTGATAGGACAGCCGTACAGATTAGTATAAAGAACCTAAAGCACTAATTCCACTACTGGTTTCATCATGTGTAAAATGAGAACACTATTTTACTTATGCCATGTGTCACTAACATAAAGTGAAAATAATGAAATTACTATGTCAACACAAAATAACTCAAAGGAAAGAAACTAGAACAATTAAGCCTATATTCAGCTATATTTGGTTTATTACTATATTAATAATTTCTTACCTTGTGGAATTCTCTTCTGAGAAAAATAGATAAAATTTTGTTCCTAAAAAAATTTCAAGTAGAAAAGTTGAAACATTAGTTTCAAAACAGAAAGTATCTTGAAAATGTAAAGTTACAAAATTCTAGCATAATACATACAGACACTTATGACATTTGGTATTACCAAAGCTTAAGTAGGAGACAGTAAGTCTCTAATAATAAAAGTACTTTTTTAATACAAATATTTATTATAAAATATATTTTTTTCATTACAAAAATACTTATCAAATCATTTTTACTAGTTATATAAAGATGTGTGGCACATTTTCATATTCTAAAATATTACTCAATTGGGTTTACTCTAGTCAAGATTTGATATTCTGAATGGAACTTTTTACGTTTAATCTACATGTTGTAAAATTCATCCTTTTAACGTACAAAATTCAGTGGTTTTTACTATATTCATAGTTGTGTAACCTTCACTGTCATCTAATTCCAAAACATTTTGGTCACCCCAGTAAGAAACCCTGTACTGAAGCAAACATTTACCACCCCCCCCCCCCCCACACACACACCCAGGGATAACATCTGAAACAATTTAATTTAATTAAAAATGTTTTAATTAATTTAAAAGAAGCATACTCTTGGCAGCTCTATGATCAAAATTATGTTTTCTTTTAAATGTATAGAACAAAGACCGATAGGAAAACAAATATTCAAAAATTGTAAGAGTAGTTGTGTTTTCTAGAATTACATGCTAAAAGTTGTACTATTATCCACAGTAAAAAAAAAACACAGAAATACAAATTGACACTTTTAAAATATCCACTATATTTTTGTATTAAATGTTTTTCAACATAGATAAAATATGTACAAAGTTAAAAAAAAAAAAATGTTGGCCACACTTACTAATCTGGTTGAAAAGCCACAGCTGCATTTTACTTTATGACAAATTGGCTGTTTCATCACTTTGCATCTGGGCATCTACTTCTTAATGGTCATTTCTGAAATAAAGATGAATTAAGAATATATTATAACAAAAATATGAAATCCTTAAGGACAATTATCTGAATTTCGGTAACTACAAGGAACTATCAAAACAGTTCTTGAGCAACCTTCTAGTAAAAAACATTAACAGGACTGACAGTAAGGTGGGATGGATGGAATATAGACTATTGTCCCACAGGCCCATAATTCGATAGTTATTTTACAAGTACTGCATATAAAAATCCATAACCTTTTCAGTCCTCAAGCCCTTTCATTCACCAGGGTCTTGCAATTCCTAAGAATGCAATTTACAGATTGGAAAAATATAAAAGGAAGACACAGAAGAGATGCCCTAAAACTGCACATCTGAAAACATTAAATTGCTTATTTGTTATGCTTGTTTATCTGTTTCTTCCTCACACCTATAAAGTAAGCTCCAGATATTTTTGTCAGTTTTATTTACTGATAATTTTCAAATGCCTAAGACAATGACTACTACCATGCGTAAAATGTTCAGTAAATATTTATTTTAAAAATGAATAAATTGATGAATGATTTAACATTAATGAAATATTTAACTTTACAGTATTTCAAAATGGCCAAATGTTAAAATGGCATCTCTTCCACACATACACCATTGATGTTAATACCAATTACATCATCTTTATTGCTTTGTTCTCCAATATACAAAGTCCATAATTAAAAGACATGACCCCAACTTTCAAGGCATAGAACAAAGGCATATATCACTTTGTAATTTTGTTAGTGCAACTTTTGTGAAAGACTTCTGGAAGGGAAATTGCTGGACATGCGATTTTGTTAAAAATTGCTAACAGTGTGTGTGAAGTCTTTTTCTTTTTTAAATATGTATGTTGTTAGTTAAGAGCAATGATCAGTTTTGCTACTTTAAAAAATCACTTGGCTCATCTTTCTCCACCTGAAAATTCAGAAGCTGATATAATCCCTATGTCTGAGAATCCTGTTTGTTATCTTAAATTTTTAAATATTTGATTTTCAGTGGAATGGACCTTTGTTGTCTTACAATCCTTTTTTTAGAAGGGTCTGCCTCTGTTTTTACTTCATAAGGAATTATAATAAAATGTACTTTCTTTAAAAATAAATAAATACGTATGTTGTTTCAGGTGCTGGTTGTGAGGACAATTAAGAATATACGAACAAATCTTTCATAAGGAGCTACAAGATGACAGGTCTCAGAAATAACCCTCAAGGAACCACGAGTTCCTTTCCATCCTGTCCCTAAATCAGTATTCCATTAAATGCTACTCTTTTTGTAAAAAAAAAAAAAAAAAAAAAAAAAATTGGGAGAATACAAATATTAAAACAGACTTGCTTTTTTTACTTTCAAAAAGAAGCAATGAAAGGATAAACTGAAACCATTTTTAAATGGTTATCAATGACAAGCCAAGCAGAGAAAGACAAATATCATATGATCTCACTTATTTGTGGAATATAATGAGCATAACAGTCTGAGGAATGGGGTAGTCTCAGAGACATGGAAGTAGGGTACAGACTGACAATCCACAGAAGGGGGTGGGGGAGAAGAGATAAACCACAGAACTTATATGCATGTACACATAACCAATGGGCATGGACAACAAAGCTGGGGACGGAGCAGAGAGGGATGAGGAGGAGGGTGTCAATGGGGGGAAAAGGAGTAACAAAAATAAATTAATAAAAAATTAATTAATTAGCCCTGGCCGGTTTGGCTCAGCAGTTAGAGCGTCCGCCTGCGGTCCGGAGAGACCCGGGTTCGGTTCCCGCTAAGGGCATGTACCTCGGTTGCAGTTTGTCCCCGGCCCTGGTCGGTCGTGCGGGTGGCAGCCACTCGATGTGTCCCTTCCACATCGATGTTTCCCTCTCTCTCTCTTCTCCTCTCTCCCTCCCACTCTATCTGTACAAAAAAAATGGAAAAATGTCCTCGGGTGAGGATTAAAAAAAATAATAATAATAATTAATTAATTAAATAAATGGTTATCGATGGATAAAAGAAAAAATGGGGTAGAAGGGATAGAAATGGAACTTCTCAGAATATACCTTATTTTATAGTTTTTACTTTGAAGACATGTTTTAAAATCAAATGAACATCAAACTACCATTGATTAAAACATTAAACACATAAAAAATTTCATGGTCATCTTTGGAAGTTACTAGGGCACTAACTTATTATCTGAAGATTAAGAGGAATAATCAAGCATTTGTCCCAGCTTTTTTATATGAAAAATACCCTAGGGTAATCAAGAAGTCAATAAATAAAAGCTCTTTTTTATAGAATTCCAAACTTATAGGAATGAGAGGATTTGAAAATCAGTCTTTTGTAATCCCTAATGAAATAATGGATATTTAAAAGTGATCAATAATTGCTAAAACAGTTAGGTAAAAGGCTGACGGGAAACTTTATAATGGATAAATCAGGTTGACAAAACTAGAACCCAGTGATTAATCTCAACACCATTAAAAATGGGTCAACCAGATATTATGTGCATAAGTATTCATCACTATCCATTAAGTGTTCATCCTGGGAGCTCCAGTTTCAAATGATATCACAATATTACCAATCCTACCATCATGGTTCAAGCCACCTTATTTCTTATCTGCATTACTATAATAGTTTCCTATCTGATCTCCCAGCCTCCCCCTCCCTTGCTCACCTCAACAAATCAGTCAGATTAGTCCTTTTCAAAAGAAAATCAGGTCATGTCATTCTTCTCTTCAAAACCCTCTAATTGAATCCATGTCACCAGTCTAAAAGCCAAAGTCCTTACAAAGGCATAAGATCATGATCTGGTATTTCCCTTCTCTCTAACCTCATTTCTTACCACTCTCCACCTTGTTCATTCCATTCTGGCCACACTGGTCTCCTTCCTATCCTATCCTTAAACACATAAAACATGTTCTCAGGGCCTCAGGATTTATTTTTCCCTCTGCCTATGACACCAGATATCTCTCTGGCTTATTCCTCCTCCAACTCTCTTAGGACTCAGTTTTTACAAGTTATCTAATCAAAGAGATATGCCCTGGTACTCCAGGCAAGCCCAAAATCTGCCTTAGATTTTCCTATCTGGGAGAGAATATGCCAGGAGAAATCAATCATAAATTTTGGCAATGACAATCACTTGAAACACAAAAGTCATCAATTTCCATATCTTTGTGTCTAAACATCTATAGAACTACACTGTCCAAAAGACTTTTTTTTTTTCTTTATTGATTCTAGAGAGAGGAAGGGAGAGGAAGAGAGAGATAGAAATATCAATGAGAGAGAACATCGATCAGCCGTCTCCTGCATGTACCTCACTGGGGATCTGGCCCACAACCTGGGCATGAGGTCGAACCGGCGACATCTTGGTGCATGAATCGATGCTCAACCACTGAGCCACACCAGCTGGGCCAAAAGATTCTCTGGTCCCAACTTCAAAGAATGATGATACAGCTACCATAAAGTGCTTTTGTTTTGTTTTTAAATCATTTATATCGTAACACTAGAAAAGAGAGGGTTAAAGATTTTACTTAAATGGGTCCCGTTAAAAAATAACAACTAGCAAAATAAATGTCATTCCCTTTCCTCCCACTCCTTTAATCCTTGAAGGATTTCTGTTAGGGTTTACATGATCAAGTTCCCAGGAAAAGTTTAACTACTTTCAAATGTATCTGTTACCTTCAGGCACCATGACCACCAGAAAGAATCAAAAGAACTCACTAACTCTAACATGACTAGACTAGCTATGGCATGGTTGGGATGTTTGAACTTAATTATTTTTCTTTAAATAAACAAACTCCCCCTGGGGTAAGGCCTATTCTGTTTTAAACATTCTATGGCTGCCAAGCTTCAGGGTCTTAAGAGAGATAGCCAGGGGACAGAGAAAACAGCAAGTATGACTCAATGATCACATTTAATAGTTTCTGAGACCAAAACAAAGATACCAGTTCTGGCAAGAGTTCTTTAGAATTGCCCCAAAACTGACTTATCCACATACCTTTCATCTGAACAATTTCTTTTCACTTAGTTTAAGGTTCACAAAATACTTGTTATGTGCCTATCAGACCTTCGGCACAAAAATAAACCAAGAGGACAATGAAAACAATCACCAGGGGTTCTAAGTGTTGGAGGATGGAATTTAATGTTAAAATCTGCTTTGTCTGGGGAGGAGGGAAGAACTCTTGAATTTTTTGCAGAAATGCCCCCACTTATTTGGAAATCAGACTTTAACATGTCCACTTGCCTGAAAGAAGGCTGGTGATTTTAAAGTATCCTTTATCGAGCAACGTCCGTGTACCAGATATTTATATTAGCTCACAGTTCTCAGATTTTCCCTATGGGAAAGGTATTAACAAAGCAGAGTGGTTAAATATCTTGTCAAAACCAGAAAGATACAGCGCTGGATGCAAAGTCTTCGTCTCTCTTTTTCACTACTATAATCTGCAGTAAACTGGAATAAAAGTATTAGTCACAAATACCACATTTGCCCCATAGGAGTAACATAAATCCAGGCTGCTCATTTAAGAAATGTGTTCCCAGTACTTATATGCATGTATGCATGACCAATGGACATGGACAACTAAGCCGGGGACGGGGCGGAGGTGGGGTGGGGTAGGGGGTGCCAATGGGGTAAAAAGGTAAAATATTGTAACAAAAAAAATAAATAAAAATTTATTAAAAAAAATAAAATAAAAAAATAAAATAAAATTATAAAAAGATAAAAAAAAAAAAAAAGAAATGTGTTCCATTCTTCCAAATATATAAAAGGACAAAAAGGAAAGGTTTACTGTTACACATGAAGAAAACCGTGCCATCAAGGGATGAACCAGAAGAATATGTTACATTCGGGTCTAGGTGAACTGAGTAAGAGTAAGCTAGGCATAGCACAGCTTACTAATTATCCATTCACAATTAACCTAATCACCTCTAAGTGATGGCTATTCCATTATACACTGAGAAGTCAGGGAAGAAATGTTAAGATTTAATAAAGTGGGAACATAGCCCACTCATCAAAAGTTTCTG